AGTTAACACAAGTATCTGATTATGCAGTTTGGTCGAGTTTGCTAAGAAGTAATCTATCCAAACTAATATAATAATATATTATTTTATTATCCTCATTATATTGATTTGTTAACTAATTATTATATGCATTCATAAAGGTACCTCATCATAATCGATGATATATGGAATGAAAAAGCATGGGAATTAATTAAGTGTGCTTTCTCCAAGAAGAGCCCCGGAAGCCGACTAATCACGACAACCCGCAATGTTAGTGTCTCTAAAGCATGTTGCTCTTCTGAGGGTGATATTTACCGAATGGAACCCCTTTCTGATGATGTATCAAGAACGCTCTTCTATAAAAGAGTATTTTCACAAGAAGAAGGCTGCCCTCAAGAATTATTGGAAGTATCCAAAGAAATTTTTGAAGAAATGTGGTGGTATACCATTAGCTATTATTACTATAGCAAGTCTTCTAGCTAATAAGGGTCATATAAAAGCAAAGGATGAATGGTATGCTTTGCTCAGTTCCATTGGTCATGGACTCACAGAAGATCGTAGTTTGGAGCAGATGAAAAAGATATTACTATTCAGCTACTATGATCTACCTTCATATTTGAAACCTTGTCTATTATATCTTAGCATCTTCCCAGAAGATTATGAGATTGCGAGAGGTAGACTAATTTGGAGATGGATATCGGAAGGCTTTGTTTATAGTGAAAAACAAGGAACTAACTTATATGAGGTCGGTGACAACTACTTCAATGAGCTAGTAAATAGAAGTATGATCCAGCCCATAGGCATTGATAATGATGAAAAGGTAAAGGCTTGTCATGTACATGACATGGTACTTGACCTCATATGCTCATTGTCAAGTGAAGAGAACTTTGTCACAATATTAGATGATACCGGAAGAAAAATGCCGAACTCAGAGATCAAGGTTCGCAGATTGTCCATCCAAAGTAGCAAGATAGATGCGGAGACCACTAGGATGGAGCATATGAGGTCTGTTACTATTTTCACAAGTGATGTTGTTGGGAAAGTGTTGGATATTTCAAGTTTTCAAGTTCTATGTGTGTTGGATTTAGAAGGCTGTAAAAATGTCTCGGATGTTGGGTATGTGGGGAATCTGTTACACTTGAGGTACTTGGGGCTAAAAGCTACTCATGTTAAGGACCTTCCCATGGATATAGGGAAGCTACAGTTTTTGCTTACCTTGGACATAAGAGGTACTGAGATAGAAGCACTGCCATCAAGTGTTGTTCAACTAAGACGTCTAATGTGTCTGTATGTTGATTACAATATGAAGCTGCCATCTGGGATAGGCAACCTGACTTCCCTAGAAGTGCTAGATGAGCTGGGGTTATCTGACGTGGACCTTGATTTTGTGAAAGAACTGGGCCATCTAACCAAGCTCAGGGTGCTCAAGCTTGACTGCGATGATTTTGATGAGAGCCTGGTTAAAGCTTTGGAGGAATCCATTAATAATATATACAAACTGGAAAGTCTAGATGTATATGTCATTCATGGACTCATCAATTGCCCGAGCGAAGATTGGGTGCCTCCTCCACAACTCCGTAGATTGGCTTTCCGGTCAAATGTAAGTTGGTTCAAGACATTGCCGTCATGGATTAATCCTTCATCGCTTCCTCTCCTCTCCTACCTGGAGATAAAGGTGTTTGAAGTGTGATCGGAGGTCATCCAACTTCTTGGGACTCTGCCTGCTCTTGTTTATCTTGAGATACGGTATCATTCTATGTTCGAAGAGGTGCATGAGGTGGAAGCACCCGTTCTTTCCTCTGGTGCATTATTCCCATGTGCGACAGAGTGCCGCTTCTATGGTATTGGTGCCGTGCCATCTATGTTTCCACAAGGAGCAGCGCCAAGGCTTAAACATCTTAGTTTCACCTTCCCAGCCAAGTGGATCTCCCGTGAAAATATTGATTTGGGTATGCGGCACCTCCCTTCCCTCCAGGGAGTCGGGGTTGACTTTATCAAGGAGGAAGCTAGCGATGCGGAAGTGAATGAAGCGGAGGCTGCGCTGAGGGCCGCAACGGAGGACCACCACAACCGTCCCGCCCTTTACATCTGGTGACCCATGCAATGGGAAAGGTACATACATACACTAGACGCACAAGCATGTATTCACATCATCTGTACATTGTCCTTGATATATGATGTTCATTGCTCTTTCTTTGTTTCAGGCGGACGAAGCGAGGCATACGACTGAGGTTCGCTAGATTAGTACCTTGTTTCCACGATTAGTACCTCACGCCCTCCACGATTTTCCACACCAAGTGTTTTATTCCTCTCCTCTTCCGTTTTTCAGTTTCAGGCAGCCGGAGTGCTTAGGTCGATTCATCGAATCTTGCACCCAGGTACTATACTAACTCCATTGATTTGATTACAGGTACTGTCAGACTATGTATAGCTTCTGTACCTATGTACGTATATGGTACATATTGTAACACAACCATTATATATAATGAGATAAGCCACCCCTAGAGGGTTGTGCTGGTTCCCCAAAACTTATTGTCTTACATGGTATCACGCTAGGTTACGATCGCTTCCGCTTCTAAACCCTAATACCCGCAGCACCGCCGCAGCCGCCGCCGCCTTCACCGCCGCCGCCGCGCCACCGATCGCGCCGCCGCCATGTCGAGCGCCGCCACCACCGGTTCCACTGCTGCGGGCTTCCTCCCGGCCTCTCTTGCGGCTCTGCCCAACCTCCCGCTCGATGCCGTCTCTGTTCCGGCTCCGATCGGGACAAGGAGCATCGGCTCCGTCTTCTCCACGCCGCCGGCGCCCTCGCTTGGGCGTGACCTCGTGGTCCACACCGCGGCGCCGCCGTCCGCTGCGGACTCCGCAGGCGTCGTCCCGCCGCTCCTGCCGCAAGCGGATCACACTGCCCCGCTGGCGGGGTTGGCGGCGTCCGCCCCGGCCGCGGGCCTTGCGGCGTCCGCACCGGCCGTGAGCTTTGCGGCGCCCGCCCTGGCTGCGGTCCCGCCTCCTCCCGCATTGGCTTCGGTGCCTCCGGCTGCCTCCATGGTGTTTGCACCCCAGGCAGCCTCCTTGATGGGATTGTCTTCGTCGCCGCCATTTCACTTCGGTCATCTCATCACCATCAAGCTCTCCGCCGACAACTACATCTTCTGGCGTGCGCAGGTTCTCCCGCTCTTGGGGAGTCACTACCTGCTAGGCTACGTCGACGGATCGCTTCCCTGCCCACCCGCGCTGGTAGACAGCGTGCACGGTCCGGTCTACAATCCGGCCCATCGCGTCTGGACGGGGCAGGACCAGGCGAACCTCTCCTCCATCCAGGGGTCGCTCTCGCCGGCAGTTGTCGGCCTTGTTGTCTTCGCGAAGACGTCTCATGAGGCCTGGACCATCCTTGAGCGCACCTTTGCAGCGCAGTCCCAGGCTCGTGTCTCTGCACTCCGTCGTCAGCTTGGAGAGTGTCAGAAGCTTGACTCCACTGCCACTGAGTTCTACAACAAGGTCAAGGGCCTCGCCGACACATTGGCCTCCATTGGACAGCCCCTCACCGACTCCGAGTTCAACTCGTTTATTGTCAATGGTCTTGATGAGGAGTATGATGCCTTAGTCGAGATCATCAACGAGCGGGGCAACTCGACGCCCATGCTGGCACACGAGGTTTTCTCTCGGCTCCTTCTCACTGAGCAACGGGTCGAGACTCGCCGCACCAGGGGCACTGGCTCCCTCTCGGCCAACGCCGCCACCAAGGGTGGCCGCTCTTCTTCATCACCCCGGTCTCCCTTGGGGCTGCCACCGTCGCCCGCCTCGGCCCTCCCACCTACTGCGACCTTACCGGGGGCTGGCGGTCCACGTGTGTGTCAGCTTTGTGGCCGCGATGGGCACTGGGCCTCCAAGTGTCATAAGCGCTTCCAGCGAAGCTTCCTTGGTCTTGGCAATGACGGCAAAGATACACGCAACAATGCCCGTCAGGTCGCCATGGCTGATCGTCCCGCGCCGCAGAAGCAACAGGGACACACTCAGTCCTACTCCATCGATCCACACGGGTACATGGACTCTGGGGCGACAGAGCATCTAACCAGCGAGATGGGGAAGCTTCACACTCGTGAACCCTATCATGGCTCCGACAAGATCCACACCGCCAATGAAGCAGGTATGCACATCTCTCATATTGGTCAAGCATCTCTTCTCACTAGACATGCCAATAGGAGTCTTCAGCTTCGCAATGTTCTTCGAGTTCCATCTGTGACCCGTAATCTTCTTTCAGTTCCTAAACTCACACGTGATAATAATGTGCTTTGTGAATTTCACCCTTTTGATCTTTTTATTAAGGATCGGGGCACGAGGGACATTCTTCTTAGTGGGCGGTTGTGCCAGGGCCTCTACCGTCTGGAGCATCCTGGTGTCGCTCGTGTTTTCAGTGGAGTTCGGGTCTCTCCGTCACAGTGGCATGCTCGTCTTGGTCACCCGGCCACACCTATTGTCCGTCATATTTTGCGTTGTCATGAGCTTCCTAGTTTGTCTAGTAATAAAGATGTAGCAGTGTGTGATGCTTGTCAGCAGGGGAAGAGTCATCAACTTCCTTTTTCGGAGTCCAGT